AAAAGGCAGAGGAACCAAGATCAAATCCCCAACATTTGCTGGATCAAAGGGAAAGCAAGGGAATTCCAGAAAAGCATCTACCTGTTTCGTCGGCTATGCTAAAGCCTTTGACTGATCATAACAAACTGTGGAGAACTCTTAAACAGATAAGAATACCAGTCCATCTTACTTGTCTTCTGAGAAAGTTGTACGAGGGCCAAGAAGCAACAGTTAGAACCCTGTATGGGAAACGGATTGATTCAGGATTGAGAAAGGAGTACACGGGGCTGTCTGCTGTCACCTGTTCATTTAACAGATACACTGAGCACATCATGAGAAAAGCCAGACTGCATGAGTTACAAGCTGGAATCAAGATAGGTGGGAGAAACGTCAACAACCTCAGATATGCAGATGATACCACTCCAATGTCAGAAAGCAAAGAGGAGCTAAAGAGCTTCTTGATGAGGTTGAAGGAGGAGAGTGAAAGAGCCGGCTTAAGACTAAATATTAAAAAAACCAGGATCGTGGCATCTAGCCTTATTACTTCATGGCAAGTAGGAGGGGAAGAGGTGGAAGTAGTGGCAGATTTCCTTTTCTTGGGCTCTGAAATCACTGCGAACAGTGACTGCAGTTATGAAACTAGGAGACGATTGCTTCTCGGCAGGAAAGTGATGACAAACCTAGACAGTGCGCTGAAAAGCAGAGATTACTCTGCCAACAAAGGTCCATATAGTCAAGGCTATGGTCTTCCCAGCGGTCACACATGGTTGTGAGAGTTGGACCGTAAAGAAGACAGAGTGCCAAAGATTTGATGTCTTTGAACTGTGGTGCTGGAGAAGACTCCTGAGAGTCTCTTAGACTGCAAGATCAAACCAGTCAGTCAATCTCAAGGGAAATCAACACTGAATACCCATTGGAAGGACTGGTGCTGAAACTTCAGTATTTTGGTCATCTGATTGATGGGAACAACTGACTCCCTGGAAAAGACCCTGATGCTGGGAAAGATTGAGGGCAGAAGGAGAAGCGGGCGGCAGAGGATGAGATGGTTGGATGGCATCACCGACGCAATGGAGATGAACCTGGGCAAACTCCGGGAGTTGGTGATGGACAGGGAGGCCTGGCGTGCTGCAGTCGGTGGGGTCGCAAAGAGTCGGACACGGCTGAGTGAACAGCAACAAGAATTAGCTGTTACCTAAAACCCGGGGATTTTCACACCAACATTTGAATTTCTGGCTTCTCTTGGGAAAAAGACACCAGCCCCGTATTCTCTTCTAGGAGCCACCGTCTAGGACTGAGCATCACTGTCCTAGCTCTGCGGGACTCTGCGCTCCCTGGTGCCGGCCCTCCATTCAGCCGGCTTCTCAAGCTGACTTCTTTGCCTGGGGGTTGGAACTAGCGTGCCCGGAGAGACTCAAGGGGGCTTCAGATTGGAAATCGTCAGTGGAAATCATGCTGTCAGTCTTTCCCAGTGCAAGGTTCATAGCAGGTGCTCAGTAACTTTATTAAGTAAATAGACAAGGGCTCACACGCCCTTCCCAGCGCAATCTTCCGATGCTCACATGTAGTTCCACAGGGAGACACACGGTGGCGCTGTGCTATCAGAAACCCCCATGTGCCCGCGGCGCAGACTGCTTCAGTCCTGGTCTTCCTTCCTGGCCAGGCTGTATTCCGTCTGCCCTGACTGTGCGCGGGTAACTTCCATAGTATATCATAATTTTACATATATCCTAATGTATATGTCTTTTACATACATCCTAATGTACATTTACATACATCCTAATGTAATGTACATACATATACATTAGTCTTTATCTGTCTACACACACACACATATGCGCATGCAATATGGAAGTTTAAAATTAGAAGATATATAATACTATATATATGAACACATATAAGGGCTTCCTGGCTGGCACTAGTGGTAAAGAACCTGCCCGCCAATGTGGGAGACATAAGAGATGCAGGTTCAATCCCTGGGTCAGGAAGATCTCCTGGAGGAGGGCATGGCAACCCACTCCAGTATCCTTGCCTGGAGAAGAATTCCCGTGGACAGAGTGATCTGGCTGGCCGCAGTCCATAGAGTCACAAAGTCAGACACAGCTTAAGGGGCTTAGCATGCACACGCACATATAAAGGGCTTCTGTGTGGCTCAGACATATAAATAACATATATGTGATTAAAATATGCATAGGATTTTACGTATATAAGGATATATAATATATATGGCTTAAATATATTTAAAATTAGATGCATGTCAAAACATATTATTCATTAAAATATATGATTAAGATATATGTGAAATTATCCGTATATATGCAATAATATACTATATTGGTATTTCTCTTTCTGACTTACTTCACTCTGTATAATAGGCTCTGGTTCTGTCCACCTCATTAGAAGTGACTCAAATGCATTCTTTTTAATAGCTGAGTAATATTGCATTGCATATATGTACTACTACTTCCCCATCCATTCTTCTGCCAATGGACATCTAGGTTGCTTCCATGTCTTAACTATTGTAAACAGTGCTGTGATGAATACTGGGGTACATGCGTCTCTTTCAATTCTGGTTTCCTTGGTTTGTACACCTAGCAGTAGCCTTGCTGGGTCATATAGCAGTTCTATTTCGAGTTTTTTAAGGAATTTCTACACTGTTCTCCATGGTGGCTGTACTAGTTTGCATTTCACAGCAGCAGTGTAAGAGGGTTCCTTTTTCTTCACACCCTCTCCAGCATTTATTGTTTGTAGACTTTGATGGTAGCCATCTGACCGGCGTGAGATGATACCTCATTGTGTTTTTTATTTGCATTTCTCTGATGCTGAGAAAGATTGAGGGAAGGAGGAGAAGGGGATGACAGAGGATGAGATGGTTGGATGGCCTCACCAACTCAATGGACATGGGTTTGGGTGGACTCCGGGAGTTGGTGATGGACAGGGAGGCCTGGCGTGCTGCGGTTCATGGGATCGCAAAGAGTTGGACACGATTAAGCGGCTGAACTGAACTGAACTGAACTGATAATGAGTGATGTTGAACATCTTTTCATGTGCTTGTTAGACACTTGTATGTCTTCTTTGGAGAAATGTCTGTTTAGTTCTTTTGCCCACTCTTTGATTGGGTTGTTCGTTTTTCTGGTATTGAGCTGCATGAGCTACTTGTATATTTTGGAGATTAATTCTTTGTCAGTTGCTTCGTTTGCTATTTTTTTCCTCCCAGTTTGAAGGCTGTCTTTTCACCTTGCTTATAGTTTCCTTTGTTGTGCAAAAGCTTTTAAGTTTAATTAGGTCCCATTTGTTTATTTTTGTTTCTATTTCCATTACTCTGGTAGGTGGGTGATAGAGGGTCTTGCTGTGATTTATATCAGAGAATGTTCAGCCTATATTTTCCTCTAAGAGTTTTTTAGTTTCTGGTCTAACATTTAGATCTTTAGTTCATTTTGAGTTTATTTTTGTGTATGGTGTTAGAAAGTGTTCTAGTTTCATTTCTTTACAGGTGGTTGACCAGTTTTCCCAGCACCACTTATTAAAGATATTGTTTTTTCTCCATTGTATATTTTTGCCTGCTTTGTCAAAGATAAGGTGTCCATAGGTGTATGGATTTATCTCTGGGCTTTCTGTTTTGTTCCATTGGTCTATATTTCTGTTTTTGTGCCAGTACCATACTGTCTTGATGACTGTAGCTTTGTCAGGCAGGTTGATTCCTCAAGTTTTTCAGGCAGATTGATTCCTCCAGTTCCATTCTTCTTTCTCAGGATTACTTTGGCTATTCAAGGTTTTTTGCAGTACAGTAGAAACACAACATTGTAAATCAACTATACTTCAATAAAAACAAAGTTTTATATTAACTTTAATTAATTAAATTTCCTAAAATGCACTCTCCTGCCCATGTATTTAAAAAGTTTAACTTGCACGGGAAGCAGGAATATTGGCTGCTGAGGCAACCCATAGCTTCAAATTGTTGTTGTGTTCATTCACCAAATCTTATCCAACTTTTTGTGATCCCATGGACTGCAGCATGTCAGGCTTCCCATCCCTCACCATCTCTTGGAGTTTGCCCAAGCTCATGTCCGTTGAATCTGTGATGTCATCCAACCATATGATCCTCTTCCCCTTCTGCCTTTAATCTTTCCTAGCATCAGGGTCTTTTCCAATGAGTCAGCTCTTTGCATCAGGTGGCCAAAATATTGGATCTTCAGCTTCAGCATCAGTCCTTCCAATGAATATTCAGGGTTGATTTCCTTTAGGATTGACTGGTTTAATCTCCTTTCTGTCAAAGGGATTCCCAAGAGTTTCTCTAGCACCAAAATTTGAAAGCGTCTGTTCTTTGGTGCTCTGCCTTCATTGTGGTCCAGCTCTCACGTCTGTACATGACTACTGGAAAGACCATCGCCTTGACTATATGGACCTTTGTCAGCAAAGTGGTGTCTTTGCTTTTTAACACGCTGTCTGGGTTTGCCATAGCTTTCCTGCCAAATATACACTGATATTTTACTTTTAGCTTGTTGTCAATTTCACCACTTGAGAAATGTCAAGCAATGTTTATCTCATGCCTTCAGTGGGGTTCATCAGAAGCAGACTCTGAGATGAGGGTATGAACTATGGATGCAAGTGATTTATCTGGGAGTGGAGCTCCGGTGATACCGTTAGGGGAGTGGGGATGGAGAGAGGAAGGGAAGCCTGCCAGCATGGGTGGAGTTAGTGAGCAGGCTATTGCTGGAGGCTCTTGGGGCTTGGCTCTGCCAGGGACTCAGGGGCTTGAGCTGAGCTGTCTTCAGAGTGGTCCCACTCAAAGGGCGAGGGAGCTGGGGTATTTATCCATCACCCGCTTCCAATCATGGGCTGCTGGCTGCTCTCACTCACTGCTGATGATGCTTCTGGCCAAAGAATACACACAGACAGAGTCTCAGGTGCTGTCAGGAGAAAGGCAGCAATGAGGTGGGTATTGGGGGATCGGGACCCACAGCCTTGTCCCATACCCTCTCACACGCCGTTCTGACGGCTTGCTGCTTCTTCTTCTTGCCTAGGCTGTGTACACATCGAGAAGGCAGACATTTACTTCCTTATTGACGGGTCTGGCAGTATCCACCAAGACGACTTTCTCGCAATGAAGGTGTTCATGAATGGGGTGATAAGCATGTCCCACGTTGGACCCGACGGAGTCCAGTTTGGAGTCGTTCAGTACTCGGATGAAGTCAGTCGTCAGCTTACCCTCAGCCAGCGCTCCAGTGTGGCGGGGCTGGAGGTAGCCGTTGACAGCATCCGGCGGAAGAGAGGGGCCAGCAGGACAGGTGAGGCCCTGGGCAGCAAGATCCAGGTCTTTGCAGACACTGCTCGCAGCAGCGTGCCTTGGTATCTCATCGTTGTCACCGACGGCAGATCTGTGGACCCGGGGGCTGACACTGCAGAGGTGCTGAGGGGCCATGGAGTCACCATTTATGCAGTTGGAGTCAGAGATGCTAATATTGTTGAGCTTCAAGAGATCGCTGAAGACAGAATGTTTTTTGTGCATGATTTGAGTCCTTGAAGGCCATCCAACAAGAAGTGGTACAAGACATTTGTTCCTCAGAGAGTAAGATTTTTTTCTTCAATCTCACTCTCTCTCTTTGAGTATATATGTCTAATCTATTTGAATAGGCTTCATTCTGGAACTGTGGATTCACAGGTCTAAAAGTATTGGACACAGAGTGACCATGAGCTAGAATAGACCGAGATGGTTCATATGACAGATATCTATCATATGAACTACCTATAGATCTCTAGCTCTATTGATCTATAGATAGAGCTCTATCATATGGCCGTGTCTTATTTTGAGACTGATTTGTGCTGGGTCACAGAAATTTATTTCCTTGACTTCCACTTCCACCCCCTTTATAAATATTTTCATGTTGTGTATATGTCACCCCAGACTCTCCCTGGGGACGTGTAATTAATTGTTTCAGACTCTGAGTAAATGCTCTGTCCTTCTCCTTCTTTCCTCCAGCCTGTAAGAGTAAGAAAGCTGACATTATCTTCCTGATGGATGGTTCAGAATCTGTCTCGCCAAAAGACTTTGAAAAGATGAAGGAGTTCATGAAGCAAATGGTCAAACAATCTAATATTGGTGCTGATGAAATTCAGATTGGCCTCCTGCAATTCAGCTCAGACCCCCAGGAAGAATTCAGGCTCAACCGAAAATGCCTCAAAGGTGGACGTTCACAGAACCATCTCAGATGTTATGCAAATCAGCGGTGGCACATACCCTGGGAAAGCTCTGAACTTCACTCTGACTGTTTTTGGGAGTTCAAGAGGAGGGAGGCCCAGTGTGCATCCATATTTGATTGTGGTCACTGATGGGTCTCCCGGGACAATGTAGCTATACCAGCCAAGGACCTGAGGGACAGAAACATAATTATTTTTGCCATTGGGGTGGGTCAAGTCAAATTCTCTCAGCTTTTGGAGATCACTAGTGACCAGAGCAAAGTGTACTATGAAGAAAAATTTGAGTCCCTGCAAAATCTGGAGAAGGAAATTCCTTACCAGGTCTGCATTCCACAAGGTGGCCGACAGAGGGCTTGGTACTTGATCCACAAGCCCACGGCAGGCATCAGGGACCCAGCTGGCTCTCTTAATAAAACTAATACTTTTAGCCTTGTCCTGGGAAAATTTTTGTTTTAATTTATTTTATTGAGTATTGATTTACAATGTTGTGTTAATTTTTGTTGCACAGCAAAGTGATTTAGTTATACATATATATATATTTTTTCGTATTCTTTTCCATTTATGTTTTGTCACAGGTTATTGAATATAGCTCCCTATGCTAATCATATTCTTTTCCATTTATGTTTTGTCACAGGTTATTGAATATAGCTCCCTATGCTATACTAGGACCTTGTTTATCTATTCTCTGTATACTAGTTTATATTTGCTAGTCCCAGACTCCCGACCCATCCCTTTCCCAATCCTCCCCAGCGGGCAAGCACAAGTCTGTCCTCTGTGTCTGTGAGTCTGGTTCTGTTTTATAGATAAGTTCACTTTGTGTCATATTTTAGATTTCACATATGAGTGACACCACATGGTATTTGTCTTTTTCTGTCTGACTTACTTCACTTAGTATGATAATTGCTAGGTCCATCCACGTTGCTGCAAATGGTATTATTTCATTCTTTTTCATGGCCGAGTAGCATTCCATCATAGGTGGTGTTTTTTGTACAGGGCCTGGTCTTTGGACTTCCAGAGACCAGGTTAAAACATTACATCTCCACATAACCCTGTTAATAATTAATAAATAGATATTATAAATTTTTTACAAGTGAGAAAACCAAGGCACAGCAGAATCAGGTTGTTTGGTCTAGGTAAATAGCAGAGATGAGATGTGAACTTAAGGTAGTCTGGTTCTAGAGTCTGCATACTAAATACTGTTCTATATTGCCTTTTGGCACAGTACAGAACCTCTCAAATGTTAGCGTGCATTTGAATAACCTGGAGAGCTTGTTAAAATGCAGTTTCTGATTCAGTAGGTTGGGGTGGGCTTCTGCATTTGTAACAAGCTCCCACATGATGCTGATCCTGCTGGTCTTCAGATCACACTTAGAGTAGGAGGTTATATGACACGGTGCGCGTGTGCACGCTAAGTCGCTTCAGTTGTGTCTGACTCTTTGCGACCCTGTGAACTGTAGCCCGTCAGGCTCCTCTGAGCATGGGATTCTGCAAGCAAAAATACTGGAGTGGGTGGCCATACTCTCCTCCAGGGTATCTTCCCAACCCCAGGGGTCAAATTTACGTCTCTTATGCCTCCTGCATCAGCAGTTGGGTTCTTCATCACTAGTGACTCCTGGGAATCCCAAAGGAAAGTACAGTATGGTACAATATAGTATATAGTGTAGAGTCATGTGGAAGAATATTAAATGATGTGCATAAACCAGTAATCCTGCATCAACCCCATGTGCTGCTGCTGCTGCTGCGAAGTCACTTCAGTCGTGTCTGACTTTGTGCGACCCCGTGGACTGCAGCCCACCAGGCTTCTCCGTCCGTGGGATTTTCCGGGCAAGAGTACCGGAGTGGGTTGCCATTGCCAACCCCCATGTGAGGCAGATGCTATTATTGAAAGGTTGCGGCTGTGAGCTGTGAGCTACATTAGGATTCGTGACCTCCGGAGGACCAGATTTTGATCTGGGTCCAGAGACGGGTCTTGATCACTCGAATCTTTTGTGTAATAAAATTTTATTAAAGTATAAAAAGGACAGAGGAAGCTCTGACACAGACATCTGAAGGGGGCAGTAAGAGTGCCCCCTTGCTAGCTTTTAGCAAGGAGTTATATATCTGTTAGCAAGTTGCTAATCAGATAAAGAATCACCTCAAAACTGAGAGAGTTGCATCAGGTGCCTCTCCCACAACATTTTGAGATAGCCTTTGCACAAGGTGAGTCATCCCCAGTCATAAAACAATTGACATGAATCTTAAAGAAAGGCAGATTTCCAAGCAAATGCATAATTTCATTAACATAGTTTAAGAGAACATTCCCATGAATAAGATGTCCTGGCTTGTTGAGCCATTATTGGTTCAAGGTTTAGTCTTAGGTGGAACAGATTTGAAGAAAGGCAGATTCCAAGGCAAATACATAGTTCATTAACATAGCTTAAGAAAAACATTTCCATAAGAGAAACACTTTGGTTGGCTCAAGGTTTGAGGAAAGGTAAGTTCTGGCAGAACCAGGTGTCCTCATGACAAGATAGAATTTAAAGAGAAACCTCCTTTTAATTTTGTATAGAGAAAAAGAAAAAAAAGTCTGCTGCTTACAGTTTATTTCCTCCAGTTGGGGAGCCCTAGCCTTCCTACCTGTTGCCCTCTCATTCTTATACTCAGTCTCCAGGTGAGAAAAAGAAGAGAGAGGTTATGAAGCACAGATGGGAAATAATGGAGGAAAAGTTTGAACTTCCCAGCAGTTTGGTGTCAAAGCCAGAGCCAATTTTTCAGAGTATTAAATGACCATTTTTGATTTTACTATCTCAAGAATCAATCCTAAAGGAAATCAACCCTGAATATTCATTGGAAGGACTGATGCTGAAGCTGAAGCTCCAGTTCTTTGGCCACCTGATATGAAGAGCTGACTCACTGGAAAAGACCCAGATGCTGGGAAAGATTGAGGGCAGGAGGAGAAGGGGACAGCAGAGGGTGAGATGGTTGGATAACATCACTGACTCAGTGGACATGAATCAGCAAACTCTGGGAGACAGTAAAGGGCAGGTGAGTCTGGCATGCTATCATCCATGGAATTGGAGTCAGAAATGACTTAGCAACTGAAAAACAATGAATCTCAAGATTTTATCACTACTTTGCAATGCTTTTGGTAAATTCAGAAATCAACCGAGGGTCTTCCCTGGTGATCTGTGGCTAAGACTCCATGCCCCTAGAGTAGACAATCCAGGGTTTGATCCCTGGTCAGGAACTAGATCCCACGTGCCACACCTAAGAGTTCTTATGCCGCAACTAAGACCTGGCCTTGCCAAATAAGTAAATGTTGAAAAGAAAAATCGATCAAAAAGAGTGCATGTATAGAATTATTTGTTTAAAATAAGCATGGATTATGAAATTCCCTTTGGCAGTTCAGTTCTTCAGGAATCAAAGTCCTGGAGACTTTGATTTATTTTTGCTGTTCTTCTGTTTCATTTTTGTTGTCTGTGATTATCTTGGAGAGGAGCAGAGGTGCAGGATTCCAGCTTCTCTTCTCAGGTCATTTTGAGCCATTTAATAAATTAGGATTTGTAGTCATCTCCGGTTCTGTGTTAGCTGGTACTTTAATAATGGCTAAACCTAATTGATTCTAGACTTATAAAGCTGAACCAGACAAACTTCAGAGGTTATCTGGTGAGAGTCAGCCCTCTTTGTTAACAGGGAAAGAAAATGCTCCTTGCATTACAGGGTAAAACCCAGTGAAAATGCTTCTGGGGAAAATGTAAATTAGAAATGTCAGAGTAATATACCATACTCAGAATTTTTTTTTTTTTCTGAATTCAGATCTGATATAGAAATGGGATTTACACCTGTGAAAACTCTTTATGGCAAATTCCAATTAGAGACTTAAAAATCAAAACAAAGCCAAGATGTTTTATATGGAAGGATGGGAGTAAGGCACATTCTGTCTTTTCAATTCCAGAAAGACATCTGGACAGCTCGCACAGAATGTGACATTTAGGGGGTTGAACACTCATGAGTCAGCCCTGGATTCCAGGTCCCTGAGAAACTTCAGCCACTGTTTATGACTATTTTAACTGGTGAAGGGTCCAATGTTTATTTATTTTCCTTGAAACTTCCCTCTCCCCAAATTTGCCGTTTTGTTTTGTGATTCTGGGCCAAATACTGCAGTTTATGCTGATCTAAAGAGAAAATGTCTGTCTGCATGTCCTGTCTTGCTTTGACAATCCAATGTCATGCTTGTCAAGAAATAGTTAATAAATAGCAGTCCTTTTGTGATTTTGAAGTTTTCACCCAAATTCGAATCCAAATGCATTTGTAACCATTAACTTTTCCTCCTTAGTGAAATTTTGTAGATGGTCTTATTATGAATGGGTACATGTAGTCAAAGTTGTGGTTTTTCCAGTGGCCATGTATGGATGTGAGAGCTGGACTGTAAAGAAAGCTGAGCACCGAAGAATGGATGCTTTTGAACTGTGGTGTCTTGGAGAAGACTCTTGAGAGTCCCTTGGACTGCAAGGAGATCCAACCAGTCCATCCTAAAGGAAATAAGTCCTGAATATTCATTGGAAGGACTGATGCTGAAGCTGAAACTCCAATACTTTGGTCTCCTGATGCGAAGAACTGACTCACTGGGAAAGACGCTGATGCTGGGAAAGATTGAAGGCTGGAGGAGAAGGGGATGACAGAGGATGAGATGGCTGGATGGCATCACTGACTCCTTGGACATGAGTTTGAGTAAACTTTGGGAGTTGGTGATGGACAGGGAGGCCTGGCGTGCTGCAGTCCATGGGGTCACAAAGAGTTGGACTTGACTGAGCCACTGAACTGAACTGAGGTGTAGACTGAAAGATCAGTGGGCCTTCCAATTCTAGCTACACCCTTCTAGGAGGGGTTAAGTATTTTCAGGTAGGAGAAACATAAAGTTGAGAGTGATAATCAGTCTTGGTCTTTTCTAATATGCTTCTCTGAAACAAGGGGTCTGCATGGGTGATGAATGAAACTTCCAGGGGAGAAGGGAATAGTACAGCCTGTACTGAAAGAGACTCAAGGCTGTTTTATATTTTGTCTTCATTCATTTGGGGAACATTTAATGAGCCTTTGTGTTAGACACTGGGAAAGTAAGATGGCATAGTCTCCTCTATGAGGGAATGTTTGTTCAGAGGGAGAGAAGGGCTTGTAAAGTAATAGTGGATATGCAGGGGCATTTAATAGCTCAACTTGAGGGCTTGGGGACATGAATCACAGATGCTTTAGGGCAGGGGCTTTTGAACTTAACCTTGAAGGACATGTGTGAGCTAACCAGATTAGAATGGAGGGAATGGGAAAGGATACTTCAGGTGGAAGGAATAGGATGTGCAGAGGTTCTTTTGAAACAGGTCTTATATGAAACAGAATATAAGTATCAGTTAGTTTTTGCTGTATAACAAGCCATTCCCCGAAGTAAACAACAAAGATTTGTCAGTGAAAATAATCAATAAGAATAGAAGTCTTTTCTAGTTTGTTTTCTAGTTTTTTCTTTGAGCCAAACTGAGGACTAGCCTGGAAGCCCACTCTCTAGATTACTCTGAGAAACTTCTCCAGAGAAATAGAGTTTTCAGTATAGTTTTACATCCCATCAGAACAAAGAACATTAAACAAGTCAGGGTTATGTTTCTTCAGAGTTTCAGGAAAAGAAGATTCCAGGAAGGACACAGCATATCAGCGTGGCCTTGGCACTTGGGAAGGGTGTCTTATCATCAAAGGAGAACAAGCATTGGCATCCCAGGAAGAGAGGCATTTAATCTTTATTTTTAACATGGGCCTTCTTTACTTTTGTGTCCCTTTTCTCTAATAACTAAAGTTGATGTAGAGCATCTGTTTGATAGGCCACAAACGGGCTACTTTAGTTAGCATAAAATTCAGGTTAACTCATGTGTAAGCCAGACAGATTTCCCTATATCTCAATATGTGAAAATTTCTTTCCTCACACCATTATTTCACTTATACTTCTGTGGGTTGGCTGGAGATTCTTCTTGAAGGACCAGATTGGCTGATATCTTCTGGGCTGGGTTGTGCAGTCAGGTGACTAATTTGATTTCTTTCTCCTCTACCTTCAAAGGATGCAGTGTGGATGTGTCTGTAGGAATTGACCTCTCTATTCCCATGAGGCAAGTTCAGCTGAGGCTTCAACGGTTATTGCCAAAGCTGATGCAGGAGCTGGCTGTGCTTTCCAATATCAGCAGTGATGTTACGGGCCAGACCAACGTGATGCTCTGCTACCATGGAGCATCAAAGGGCCAGCTCATCTTTGACTCAGGATTTGAAAAGTACAGTGACGAGACCATTCAGAAGTTCTTGATTCACCAGGGTGCCAGGAGCAACCATATGGATGTGGATTTTTTGCAGTCCCTGGTAGAGAGTGCTATCCATCTGTCTTCTGCCAATGTGAAGGTAATAAATGCTAAGAAAATCTGTCTGGAGGCCATTAGGCAGGGTTGGAGGGATAAGACTTTTGTGACTGAGGCCAACTAAGTTGTTCTTCTCTGCAGAGCTTACCCAGAGGAACTCTAGGTACTCTTACTCAGTAAAGACCAAGAAGAGACGTGTCTTCATTCAGTCAGCTAATACTTACCAAACCCTGGAGGCTTTGCTGAATGCCAGTAGGAATAAAAGGATATAGTCCCTGCCCTCGGGTTGCCCACAGCTAGTGATCCAGATTCGTTCATGGCACAGATTCATCCCAGACATCTTGGAAGATATTAGTTCCTATGGTCACTCATTGTCACGTAGAGTAAGGCTCATTGTTTTTCTAACCACCCCCTTGAAACATCTTTTGTGACAGTTAAAGGCTCCCTAGCAGTTAAACCTCCCTTCCTGGGTCCCCAGAACTATGCACCCACAGGAGTCCACAGGAATAAAAAGGTCTCATATAACATGTATTAGGAAATTACATCCCCGAACTTTGAAAGGTACATTGAATTTTTCTTTCAGTCCTGTATCCAATGGGTTTATTTCTTGAATAATGGAATTCACTTTTTAAGTTAATTTTCTCTGGGTAGAAGTCGCACATTTTATTTGTAGAAAATGCATTAAAATGTGGGAGGTTTGGCATTGATGAAGATGAATATTGTAAAAATTTTTGGAAGCTATTTTTAAGTGAATACATTAAGCTGGTTCAAATTCTTTTTTTGGGGGTGGGGAGCATGTAGGGGAGGACATTGAAGTGTAAGGGAATGTGTAAGAAAGTAACAAATAGATGAATGGGTAAAACCAAAGGGAACAGGGTGAAAGGCTGGGTATACCAGAAGACCTAATGAAGAGAGGTGCAGCTCACAGCACCTGTATTCTCCATTGCCTTTTCCCAATTCCCTCCCCTCCTCCTCTCTCTCGAGGCTTCTGCAAGCCCCTCCTCTCTCATAAACAACAGGTCCTGTTAGTGTTTACAGATGGACTGGATGATGATCTAGAGAAACTGAAGGAAGCATCTGAGCTTCTCGGCAGCAAAGGTAAGGGCAGGGCGTTGCCCTGTGGGGGCCGTATTCCTCCAGCAGGGCCGACAGTCTTGCAGATTTCCAGACGCTGACCCCAGGTCATGGGACCTCATGCCCTTGAAGCTGACGTGCAGTCTCCCTCTTCATATGAACTGGGGGCTATTCAGGGCTGAGAGACCCCAGACTCCACATCCTCAGTACTTGCTGAGGGTCGCTCTGAGTGAGACAGAACTGACCAATTACCAGCCTGGCGTCTGCTTTGGAGGGTCACAGGGGCAGCTCCTGCTTCTTGTGGAGTGGGTGGTCTCTGTTCTTTTAGGCTCTCTGGGAGCCATATGTCTCTTTTTTCCTAAACTAAAGTCACCCTAGGCCTTCTTCCCCTGCCTTTCCTCCCGCCTTCTCCCTGACTTTTTCTCTTTAGTCGACTCCAGGGGCTGCTGCACAATATATACGTACATGCCAGTCAGTTCTGTTGCTCAGTCGTGTCCGACTCCTTGCGACCCCATGGACTGCAGCACGCCAGGCTTCCCTGTCCATCACCAACTCCCAGAGTTTACTCAGACTCATATCCATCAAGTCTGTGATGTCATCCAACCATCTCATCCCCTTCTCCTGCCACCTTCAACCTTTCCCAGCACCAGGGTCCTTTCCAATGAGTCAGTTCTTCACATCAGGTGGCCAAAGTACACATCTATCCATATACTCTAAATATCATTGGTTTACATTATTATATTTATTTCAGGTGCCCAACATAGTGATTCCATATTTTTATAGATTGTGATCCATTTAAAGTTGTTGTAAAATATTGGCTTTATTCACTGTGTGGTACAATATATTCCTGTAGCCTATTTATTTTATACATGGGAGCTTGTATTTCTTAATCCACTCCCCACTGGTAATGACTAGTTTGTTCTCTGTATCTATGAGTCTGTTTCCATCTTGTTATATTCACTTGTATGTTTTATTTTTTATGTTCTACACATAAGTGATAACATAAAGTATTTGTCTTCTGTCTGACTTACTTCACCAAGTAAAATACTCTCTAGGTCCATTCATGTTGTTGCAAATGGCAAGATTCCATTCTTTATGGCTGAGTAATATACCCTTGTGTATACAGTTGACCCTTGAACAACCTGGAGGTTAGGGGTGCCAACTGTCCCTGCAGTTGAAAATCCATATGTAACTTTATGGTTGGCCTGCTGTATCCACAATTCAATCCACTCCACAGATTCAACTGGCCATACATCATTATAGTACATGTATAGCCATACACCACTGTAGTATTATAGTACTTAATTACTGAAAAAATTTGCATTGTAGGTGGACCCATGCAGTTCAAATCCATGTTGCTCAAGAGTCAGCTGTATTTAACCCCATCTTATTTATCCATTTATCTACCCATGAATACGTAGGTTACTTCCATATCTTGGCTATTGTAAGTAGTACTGCTATGAACATTGGGTTGAATTTATCTTTGAATTAGTGTCTTTGTCTTCTTTAAATATATACCAAAATGTAGAATTGCTAGATCATATGGTAGTTCTTTTTAGTTTTCTGAGGAAACTCCACACTGTTTTCCACAGTGGCTATACCAACTTACATTCCCACCAACAGTGTAGGAGGGGTCCCTTTTCTCCACATCCTCACAACATTTGTTGTCTACAGACTTTCTGATACTAGCAATTCTGACAGGTGTGAGGTCACACCTCATTGTGGTTTTGATTTGCGTTTCTCTGATGATTAGTGATGTGAATATCTTTTCATGTGCCTGTTGGTCATCTGTATGTTTTGGAAAAACATCTATGCAGGTCTTCTTCCCATTTCTTGATTGGGTTGCTTGCTTTTCTGATATTGAATTGTATGAGCTGTTTATAAATTTTGGATATTAACCCCTTATTGGTCATAACATTTGCAAATATCTTCTCCCAATTCTGTAGGCTGTTTGTTTCATTTTGCTGATGGCTTTTTTGATTTTAGGTCCTATTTCTTTCTTTCTGCTTTTGTTTCCTTTGCTTTAGGAGATAGATCCAAAAAATAACACAACAATTTATGTCAGGGTGTTCTGCTTATGTTTTCTTATAGGAGTTTNGGTGACTTGAGATGCTGTCTCCTGGGCTTGAAGTTCTGAAAATTCCCACCAAATAACACATAACTTTTAGGTTGCGAATATTTTTTAAGTTGGCAGAAACAAAAAACATGGGCTACAAGAGGGCTCTGAGAGTCCTTCCTCGTTCCACCTAACTGTTTACCTTTTAGTTGCCAGGATTGAAAGGTATCAGACCAATTCTTTAGGAAGGCACGCGGTGAGCTGGCTTTGATTTGAGGAAAAAAACACAGTTTGGGAAAAAGACAGATGAGGATATAGGAAGGATAGGATGATGGACGGATATCTGGGGCCAAAACAAGTCAGACTATTAGAAAGACATGCAAGGAAATCTCCCACCTGTTGATCTTTTGAAGGATTCTCTGGACTCCTGACTATTGGCCTTGAAGGCCTCCATAAATTAGAGGAGCTCCAGGAGCTAGAATTTGGCAGAGGATTTGCGTATAATCAACCTCTGAGCATCACACTGCACACCCTTCTGAGCATCTTACTGAAGCAACTTGTAAGTTTTCCTTTTTTTAAACATCATCCTTTTCTAAGTCTGTTCATGCTAATATTTCTAAAACCTTGAGGGAATTTTGTTTCTTTAGTGTATAATGTGCTGTAGGTTAATACAGCATTGGAAAAAAACAAAAAACCATTATGTGAGATGGATTTTGTTTTCAGGACACAATTGTAGAAAGAACATGCTGTAATAGGTATGCTAAGTGCTTTGGAGAGGACGGGCACAGAGGTGATGGTGGGAGCCCAGGGGGAAAGGTGAGTTCTTGCTGGGTGTGTGTGGGGGAGGGGAGAGAGATTTTGTATCCATTACACTAGAGGCCTGTGTTAGATCTTTAATACACCTTTTCTGATTCTGTCCTCTTAACAGACCTCTTTTACAGGCATAAAATTGAGGCTCAGAGAGGGAACACCATTTTCCTGAAGTTGCCCATTTACAAAGAGGCATTTTAGGGTTTCAGCCCCTGTGTCTGCTTGACTCCAGGGCTCATATCCTTTCCACTATACAATGCTGTCTCCTTACTTTTATTTGACACTTTCGCAGGTTCTACCACTACACAGAAGTTTTCACTCATCCACAAAATTGTCACTTGTCCACTATCTGTTTTCTTTACAGTATTCAAAGCCTCTTCCCCTCTGATCTAATATCCTATTTTATACCAGTAACCTCAGAGGATAAATACAGTCACTGGTTTATTGGTGGTTTATTTGCATCTCTCTGTTAATTCTGTAGTTAAGTGATAGGAAAATTACTGCTTCCTACAGTTCCTTAAGGGGGACTGTCTCATTAGAAACGGTCCTCAGATAGCCAGGGACACAAGGTTCCATTCTCACAGGACTAGAGCCTCATGATGGGTGGGTAATCACAAATTCATGTGGAAGGTTGAATCAAACCCATTGGTTTTTACATTGTCTTTTTCTAAGATTTTCCATGAGATGGTTGGAATGAGCTCTTACTGACTTTGTAGATCAATCTTAATTTTGAACAGTGCATAATTACTTTTTGAAAAATAAATTGCAATCATGCCTTAGCACTAGATTTTTCTCCCCCCTCTTATTATTCTTAAATATAGGATTGGAAGGTCAGAAAATCAAGCTTGGGAACCTTGATTATTTTTTTAACAATTTGTTTTGAGACCAAAGATTGACACGTCCTGAATTCTTGATTTCTCTGCCCTGTCTGTTAGTGCTTGGATGTATTACTTTCATCTTTGTTAATTACAAATAGACTATGGCTCTCACATTTTATTTACTGTATTTTAGACTTAATAAACATCTCTGGCTATAAAATGGTAAGCCAGACTTCCTTGAAAGGAAATAGTTTGTGTATTTAGAAATCTAAGAAGAGTAAAATGAGAGAGTGAAGGATTGAGTCATACAGAAATAGACAACCATTTCTCATAAGTTATATGGGCTCTTGTTGTTGTTAAGTCGCTCAGTTGTGGCCGACTCTTTGCGACCACATGGACTGCAGCACACCAGTCTTCCCAGTCCTTCATCATCTCCCGGAGTTTGCTCAAACTCATGCCCATTGAGTCAGTGATGCCTTCCAACCATCTTATCCTCTATCAGCCCCTTCTCCTCCCGCCTTCAGTCTTTCTCAGCATCAGGGTCTTTTCCAATGAGTCGGCTCTTCACATCAGGCGGCCAAAGCATTGGAGCTTTAGCTTCAGCATGAGTTCTTCCAATGAATATTCAGGGTTGATTTCCTTTAGCATTCACTGGTTTGATACCCTTGCAGTCCAAGGGACTCTCAAGAGTCTTCTCCAACACCACATTTCAAAAGCATCAATTCTTCTGTGCTCAGCCTTCTTTATGGTCCAATACCTTTAAACTTAAAACTTTAAATCTTACAGGCTGTAACACCTGTAACCTTACTGACATTTTGTAAAACCAGTTCAAAGCTCTTTAAAGTTTTCCTCAAACATTTAATTTGGAACTATTTTGGCTTGGATTTTCATAATGGAATGGCTTGAAAATGTGTTTTAGAGAAAAAAAAAAATAGGTTGATGTACCAGGCTATTAAGACAAACAGGTATTCAAGTTTTCACTTTCAGTTCAGTTCAGTAGCTCAGTTGTGTCCGACTCTTTGCAACCCCATGGAGTGCAGCACTCCAGGCCTCCCTGTCCATCACCAACTCCCAGAGTTTACTCAAACTCAAATCCATCGAGTCGGTGATGTCATCCAGCCATCTCATCCTCTGTCATCCCCTTCTCCTCCTGCCTTCAATCTTTTCCAGCATCAGGGGCTTTTCAAATGAGTCAGTTCTTTACATCAGGTGGCCAAAGTATTGGAGCTTCAGCTTCAGCATCAGTCCTTCCAATGAATATTCAGGACTGATTTCCTTTANGAAGTTAAATAAGCAGGGTGACAGTATACGGCCTTGACATACTCCTTTTCCTATTTGGAACCAGTCTGTTGTTCCATGTCCAGTTCTGACTTTAAGACAGGCCAAGAGTATTTGTTTCTATATGCCTCTGTGCATTATGCTTGATGTTTAGTAGATTATTAATAAAATGTCAACTCAGTGAGACAAGGGTGTCTATCACTATTAATTTTTATTTCATGTAGATTTGAGAAATGAAGGATTTGCAGTCCATGTTATTTATTTTGATTTCTTTTTTTCCTCAGGGAGAGAGAGGTTCTGATGGGTTACCTGGTTACCCTGGTGAAGAAGGTATTTGTGTAAGTGCTGAATCTTATCTTTTTCTTCAAAAGAATATGGTAAAAGGGGTCAAATATTAGTCATACTTAATTGCACTTAAGTAATAAATTAAAGAGAACCAAAGCCATTCTTACAACAAGATCACTGAGATTCTGTCCTGACTGGCTGAAAAGGTGATGGAGTTATAGTCACCCACTGATGCTTTGCATATAACCCTGGATGCATCCTGGGGTGAGGAAAACTTCTCCAACGTGATTGACCATGGATAACAATGTGTATTGTGGGAGAGAACTGTCAGCTTGGAGACTGGAGTTTACCACCTTAGAGGTCAAAACTGAAATAATTTAAAATTATTCATTTTATTTCAAAATAACAAAAATAAACCCATTGCAGAAATGACGCATTCTTTTATGAAAACACCATATATTTTCCAAAATAAAATATTTTAGTGACTTTTTTTTTGTAGTTTTATGTGTCTTTAATGTCTAACTTCTTAGAGAACAACTGCAGTGCTAAATCTGCTCTGTCCCGAGTCTGTTGTGATGTAGCTTGGTTGTTGACTTAAAAACTCTGCTGTATACTTGGGAGAGAATAAAAGAAAGCACAGCATTTTATTGTAATTGGGAAAACAGTTTTAGCTTTGTGAGCACCCTTTCTCAAAAGGTCTTGGGGACCTGTGGGGTCCCAGGACCAAACTTTTCATACTATGGGTGTACACAGGTATTAATGTTCTACGCTCCACTTAGAATAGCAAGTTACTTTATTATTCTGAACATTTAGAATGCTTGAATTTGCAAAGTAAGCAGAAATTAAAGAAAATTGCTGAGACCTATGTAAGTGGATCTGTTTCTTTGATTATGTTTGTGGGAGAATTGCCCAACTTTTCCTTTTGTCTTGGTAAGCATGGATGGTCTCAGATGTTAGAAATACATTCAGAAATGTGAGTTGTGAACTTTTGTTATTTTACTTAGCAGTAGTGATAATATTGCTTCCTGTTTTTATGATGTTTTAAGATGTTGTCTAAGTGTTATTTTTTTCTGTTTGGTTTGTGGTTCAGTGAGCCTGGTCAAGCTTAAGAGAATAACTTAAGATCTGACCAACCTGTTAGGCCATTGATACTAATTTCAAACAAATACCATCTTCAAGCCTGCCTCTGTCTAGGATGGGTGATGATTTTGTCCCCATTCTCTAATGTCTTAACACCCTAAAATCAAGATGTTTTATAAAGACCCCCTAATACAGAGCTAGGAATATAATGTGAGTGCTATACATAGTCTTATATAATTAAAACATTTTAAGTAGCTGCCTTAAAGAAAGCTTAAAAAAAAAAAGGTGAAGTTAATTTTAGTAACATTTTACTTAACTCAATAAACCCTAAGTGTAACCAACATGTAATTAATATAAAAGTCGAGATAGCTTACTTTAAGAAATATGCTGCCTTTGAAATCCAGTGTGTATTTTGTACTTAGATCACATCTCAAATGCATCACATCAGTATCACCATGTGATAGCATAGCTCAGCAGGGCCTGTCTTTTTTGCATTTCTCACAAGAGAGGCGACTTCTAACCATGTAGTCCTCTGAATGGCTTTTAAAGTTGCTTCCCTGAAAAGCAGGTCAGGTTGGACTTAAGGTCAGACTTCTGCTCAACAGCAGAAGTACAGTTGCAGGCAGACAGGTTTTAGAATGTGCCCAGAATTTGTAAGTTCAAGTTCAAAGTGTCCGAGTCTTTCCGAATCCAAGTTCCTACTGCTCATCTCAAGACAGGTCAATCAGCTGAGAGACAGGTGTTTGGCCAGGAAACAGCAACTTTATTTGGAAAGCCAGCAGACTGAGAGAGTGGACTAGAGTCCCACAGAACCATCCAGCCCAGGTTTGAATGCCAGTTCTTTTTATGGAGCGAAGAGGGGCAAGTGACGAGGTCAAGGAAAAGAGGTGTATATTGTTGCAAGCCAGATTGGAGGGTTTGTGCTAATTTTTTCTTTCCCACATCCATTCATGGGTAGGTCCGGTCAGGATGCTTCCTTTGAGCTAAACAAAGGTATTTTGGCTTAACACAGGAGTGGGAGGCAGGGTTAACTGAGATGGGCCATTATGTATACTTAAGCTGTAGGCAACATCCCTTTGGTGATTAACTTGCAGCAGAAACCGTAGAGTGTAAAGGTTGTTTTACTGAACCCAAGCCTGTGTTCACATGCAGAGCAAAGCCAAACACTACACTGGAGCTAGAGCACACAAAGGTTCATCTCAGGTTAAGAAGGAAGAAGGGGCAGGTGGTCCCCCCAAACCTGAACTCTCTGAGAGCGTGGGTTTCAGCAAAGTGTTTTAAAAGGCCAGATGGGGGAGGGGCATCCCAGGTGTGTGATCAGTTCATGCACAATTCTCTGATTGGCTGATAGTGAGGTAACAGGGCTGTTAGGTTAACCTTATCAGCCCTTAGGCACCAGTAGGCCTGGGGGCTACCTGCTCATGATCATCTAGTAGCTAATTTCTTCCATTTGGTGGTGGTTTTAGCATCTGAAGAACTCAGTAAATATGGTCAAATGCCATCATCTAGGTGCTGCAGAGAGGAGCTACAACAGAGGGCATGGGGGAGGGATCCATCCCCAGTAGGGTCCTGCTTGGTTACAATTAAAGTAAAAGAAACCCATCCAACGTGGAGTCAGATTTGTACTTCCCTATTACAGGAAGACAAGTAGCTAACTGTTTCAGGTATCTATTTCC